TGTACATACAGAGCTCGGATTCTAAATATATTTTATAAGCAAACTGACTTTAACTGGGAAGAGGATGGACATCAATTAGGATCCCGTTGGCAGTCAGAGATATGGCATCTTTTTATCGTCAAAGTTCAAATGTATTGATATCTCACGAGCGAAATACGAATGGATATGTCAGGATATGTCAGTTGAAGGGTGGGGCAGCCGTTGTAACTATACTGAGATCTTAGAACTTATATCTCAAGGTGGTTGGCGCATTTACGTTATAGATGTCTATGGGCTCCAGTAACCACTTAACACCAGGTGGGCTGTGAGCTCGTCCACACATCTAAGCAATAAAAAAAAAAGTCACCTGCGTAAATCACGAATCGCTTTCTCGCTAATTTACAGTTTTCCTTTACGAAAGAAATAAGTTAGTGGTAACAACCTAAGTTAAATTATTTTAAAAATGTAAATGACATGACAGTCGGCACACAAAACAAATTACGGATAATTCAAATTTGTTTTTTGTGTGTCTGTAAGTACTTACTCAAAATAACTCAAGTACTTACTAAGCCGTACTGGTACCGTTAACTTATGTTAATATATGAATCCTATTTGAATAGGACTTTTAAAATGCGGCCCACTCAGTGTACACAAAATTAGCATGCTCTTGTATTTTTTAAATTATTTATTTTGTATTTTTAGTAAGCTTACATGGATGAAAAAACATGTAAATTTCGTCACGTTTTTTTCTCCGTGTGTTCAACGAAAAAAGATTTTACAATTTTTTGTATACGACAAAATCATCCTGCCTATTTCTGCCGTGAAGCAGTAATGCATTTCGGTTTGCAGGGTGGGACAGCCGTTGTAACTATACTTGAGACCTTAGAACTTATATCTTAAGGTGGGTGGCGCGTTTACGTTGTAGATGTCTATGGGCTCCAGTAATCACTTAACAACAGGTGAGCTGTGAGCTCGTCCACCCCCAAAGCGATAAAAAAAATGTACCCGAGGGATTGTTCAATGAGCCGAGGTCGTAAAGCAAAAAGATAGCAGGATGAACTGGAAGATTACCGGATTACCTCTGGATCCCTTTAGATAAGAGTAGCAGCAGACAGAAAGTAGTAGAAAGAGCTGGAGGAGGCTTTTGCCGAAAGCCACACCATATCCAGAAACATTTTGTGGTATAAATATAGATTTTAGTTTTATAGTTTATTTTTATAAAAGGCGTTGTTTTTTTTACGCTTTTATTAGCTTCAAACGTATCGACTCATCCGCAGAATATAGTCCTATCTGTAGGATTGATAGTTTTCAGTAGAGGTTAAAGAAGTTGTTGACTTGTGTAACTTTTAAACGGTGCGACTTGCTGTTTAAATTTTTTGGTATGTTGTTACTACGTCTCAGCTTTGTTAAATACTGTGTAGTTTATAACTGTTATTCTTTTATTTCTGGAGATAGTGAGTTCTATATTAACATAAGACGTTTTATGGCAAAACAGCGAGGGTCCTTAGTGAACGTTACACGTTGTTTTATGGATACATGTAAATTAAATGACGTTCTATATTAACATGAGTCGGTTTTCTTTGGAATTACTAACTACTAATGAGTCCTACGTAAATAACAACCTTGAAATATTTAAACATAACGTTCCTCATATCATTACTGCCCTCCTATATAACTAAATAAAAAAGATAGTAATTATTTAAAATCGTTTATTAAGTGAAAAAATCTCAAAANCCGTGCGGGCCGGCGCTTGATCACTCCGTACGTTTTTATGCGGAGCTAACGACAGATAGAACGTTATTCAATTATATATTTCCGAAACTAAATGAGATACAAAAATTCCAAAAACACACGTCCGTAGAGTTCGTATCCCTTATTGCGCCTAGCTATATAACTCGTTTTTGCTCTATGATCACATCGGACTTTGTTCTGCGGATGAGTCGGTATGTATCATAGTATGTAACGCAATCTTTGAACATGATTTTGACCCCTTTCAAAACGTCGGATTAATTCGAATTTTGGTATAGTTATTAAGGGTCGATGACAATTCAATATTTAAAAAAATTGATCGGTCATCGTCTAGTTCAACTAAAAAATGAAAAATAAATAATAATTTAATAAAACTAACAAAATACGCTTTTATAGAAAATCCAACTAAAAAATAGAAAATATATGACGTCATAATATTATGACGGGCCAGTAAAAGAGTTATACATATAGCCACTCTAGACCAAATGGAAGCTTCACACACCTATTCGGAGTCTGATGCGTCTTCATAACTACATGTAGAATCACTAGTAAAACTCTTACCAATCAAGACCGAAGCTACTGGGTGAAGAGTACTCCCATTACACTACGCGTATATGAATGGATTTGCATATACCAAAGTGAAGTGGCGAAGGGTTAGTTATCTGAGTTAACGACTGTGGTCAGCCCTTTCAGCGTGCAACCACAGTTTAATAAAATGAAAGCAACTCAACAATATTATGTAGTAACATAAATCAATGTATGGTACATGCGAATCACTTTGATTCTGTATTTTGTACAGTTGAAAGACTCGACTCTCGGGCCAAAGGAAATCCTGTTTCATCATCATCATCATTCTTTCCTATTACCTTCTGCTGGGGTATAGGACTCGAATCAAATGCTTCAATTTACATCGGTTTTGACGTTACAAAGAAAGACGCCTAACTCCTGCTCCACCGAGCGACGCCAAGTTGTTCTGGGGCGGCGTCTCTTTCTTTTGCCAGACACTATCCAGGTCAGTTGTCTCTTTGATAGGTAGGTATCGGACTTTCTCAATATTCAAATTCTGTTTACTTAAAATTAATTTGTTATTGAGCGTTTCGAGCTGTATCGAAAGCTATATTTTATTAGAAAAATTGGTACCTATCCGCGGGGCTTGAACACAGGCACAGCACATCGCTCGATTCGAATGCACCGGCCTTTTTTTCCTACCTAAACTGATAGCTTTGAGAGGCTATATCAGCGTAACCCTAACGTCTAGGTGAGCTCTCCGTGCTCAAACCAGGAGGCGTTTCTAACACTGGCCCTAGCAAGAGCAGTGCTTCGCAGAACCTACCACTGGATCAGACACGCGACCCACTGAGAAGATCCGGCGAGAAACTCAGTGGGCTGCACCGGCCGTCTTATCATTGAGACCGAGTTAACTTCTACGAAAATGTTCCTTTAATTAAATTTTATTCAGTTTTGACGTTGCATTGCGTAGGCTGAGTTGTTCTATAACCATACATACACCCATAGCTAGACTGGCTTAATCAAACTATCAATTTCTTTTTGGAATAGTCCCTATTGTGCTTCCTTTGAAATTACTAACAATTGAATCGTTGTTGGCTTTAACATCGTTGTGTTCCCTGTGAGCTTCATTAATCCTTTACACAACACTCAACCCAAACAAATTTAATATCTATCTATATATTATTATATAAAAATGAATTGCTGTTCGTTAGTCTCGCTAAAACTCGAGAACGGCTGAACCGATTTGGCTAATTTTGATCTTCAATTATTAGTGGAAGTCCAGAGAAGGTTTAAAAGGTAGATAAATATGAAAATGCTCGGAATTATATTATAAAAACAAACAATTTTGTTTTTCCTTTGATGTGTCCCCCGTCGGACGGATTCATTTTGTTTGTTTTAAGTTTATTTTATACAATAGTTTACGTCTTTTATTTATCGATTGAGGCACTACGAAGTCTGCCGGGTCAGCTAGTTCTCAATGAAACACACAGTAGCTTGCTGTACTAAATCTTTCCTATACTAGAACTTTATGCCTGTGGAATACGACGCCGCATTATCGACAGACCCGATAACGTTTCAAACAATTAACCAGCCCTCGTGCCTTCGGTAAGGAGGGCGTAACGAGAGAAATGGAGATTAATACGACATCACTGTTCTAGTAACACACATAGATGTGTTTTGTTATCACTGTTTTAACTTTTAACAGTTCTTAATAGTCGGAATACGTCCAAACATCGTAGACTGCGATTTTTACTGAAGTTAGGCTACCTTACGAGACCGCACAGATATACCACCATCCTGCCTATTCCTACCACGAAGTTGTGCTATACACTTAGAACACACGTCTGGAAGTGGGTGACGCCATTAACATCGTCGATGCTATGAGCTCCGGTAACCACTTAGCACCAAGTGGGTCGTGAGCTCATTAAAATGCGACTCCGACCACACTATGAGCGGCGACAATTATGTTGGAATTTCTTGGACTCCCGTTACAAGTCAATCTTAACCAGTGGTCATGGTATCGTGAGCAAAACTAATTGACCCATCTTTCGGCTGGTATTTGGAAGAGAGTTGATCCCACTGCACTTTCTCTACTACACACTACTCTTTCATCACTATTCGATTCTCAACGAGTAACACTTGTGACCATGCCTTCATTTTTTCTACATGGAACTAATTTACGTTCTCTTCATACCGCCAAAAAAATTCACTCCTGTTAAATATTACATGTCTTTCCTCAAATGTTTTATGAAAAGAGGCAAAGCATTAGGGAGTAGCTTAGGTGTGCCCTCGCATAACTGATATCCAACCACCATAAGGCGCGCCACATTCTTGTTTCAATTCAAAGACTGTAAAAAGCAGCTATTTCCGAGTTAAAGTAATTAAAACTAAAAAAAGTAACCGTCACTAAACCATCATTAAAAAAGCGCTATAACTACCTAAATTTTTACTGGTGGTAGGACCTCTTGTGAGTCCGCACAGGTAGGTACCACCACCCTGCCTATTTCTGCCGTGAAGCAATAATGCAGTAATGTGTTTCGGTTTGAAGATTGAGGCAGCCGTTGTAACTATACTTGATACCTTAGAACTTATATCTCAAGGTGGGTGGCGCATTTACGTCGTAGATGTCTATGGGCTCCAGTAACTACTTAACACGGGCTGTGAGCTCATCCACCCATGTAAGCAATAATAAAAAAATAACAAAAATTGTCTATTCGATTGGCGCCTTACACACAGGGGGCAAATGAGAAACCTTTTTTCGATTAATCAATTTATTAAAGAGTTTAAGGTCTTCACAACAAAAGCGGTGTAGTGTCCTAGGAACTTACGCACTAGATGGTATTACGCACAACAATTCAATTAATAGAAACAAATTCTTTGAGCTAACACTCCTGAAGCTTTTTGCTTTTGATAGCGTTCGAAGCAGTTTTTCTGTGACTAGCTCGTACATCGTTGTCGAGCCTAACTTTTGGGCAGATGTGCGTCGCGGATCTGTCTGGCGAGCCATGCCACGCCGTCCGCCAGTCCAGTCCCGGAGAGCGCACTGGACGCGCACACGTGCCAAGGCTTGTCCGTGATACGCTCTAGACCTAAAACTGTAAACAGATCTTAACACCTTGGCTGCGGCAAGTAAAATCACCTTCATCTGGTACGGCGGCGGGTCGAAATGCGCCCGCAACGGTACTAGTGGTAGGACCTCTTGTGAGTCAACGCGTGTGGGTACCACCACCCTGCCTATTTCAGCAGTGAAGCAGTAATGCGTTTCGGTTTGAAGGGTGGGGCAGCCGTTATAACTATACTGAGACCTTAGAACTTCTATCTCAAGGTAGGTGGCGGCATTTACGTTGTAGATGTCTATGGGCTCCGGTAACCACTTAACACCAGGTGGGCCGTGAGCTCGTCCACAAACCTAAGCAATAAAAAAAAGCTTCATACTTTATGCTTAGCTCATAATTAATGTCGTTGTCATCACAATCAACACTGATGATGAAATAAAAGTCCTCATTTACCGATAAAGCTTCTAAAATTACCAAACAAGAGTTTTCGTTGTTTCGTTCTCTTTCTAACCTGCAGCAATCTGCATGGGTGCGAGTGCGTGCGACGCGTCGCATTTATTCGCGAGCACCAGTAAGTAAAGTTTCTAAAATTACCAAACAAGAATTTTCGTTGTTTCGTTCTCTTTCTAACCTGCAGCAATCTGCATGGGTGCGAGTGCGTGCGGCGCGTCGCATTTATTCGCGAACACCAGTAAGGGAATGCGCCGACCGCACATGTCCGGATGGGCCAGCATGAGCTCCAGCTCCTCGCGAGCTACCACTGGAAGTAGTTTCTCAACTGAATACTTAAAAGACACCAGCGACACCAAAAGAGACAAACATACTACATATCCGTGAGAGAATGAAAAAGCAAGCATTTTTAATTACGCTTTTATTATTAGCTTCAGACGTTTGTATGTTTGTAACGGAATCTTTGAACGTGATTTTGACCCCCTTCAAAACGTCGGATGAACTCGAAATTTGATATACTTATTAAGAACCGATGACATTTCAATATAAAAAAAAACTATATTGAAAAAATTGAAATTCAACTAAAAAATGAAAAATAAATAATAGTTTAAAAATAAAAATAAAATACGCTTTTATAGAAAATGCCACTAAAAATAGAAAATAAATCTTAATAAATTTGAATTAAAAATACTATAAGAAAATTTATTTTATTGTAAAAAAGCGTGGGATGCTTTTCAGGATATTATCAAATAACCCTTCTACTCATATCTGTTCATTAAATATTAATAACTACTGACACCATGCACTCCACGCTTTTTTTACAATAAAATATTTTTTTCTTACACTATTTTTAATTCAAACTTATTTTCTATTTTTAGTGGGATTTTCTATAAAAGCGTATTTTTTTAGTTTTTTTAAAGTAATATTTTTATTGTTAATGTCCATTTAGCTGATCCAATTCACAGCCCATCTATCGTTAAGCAATTACTAAAGCCCATAGACATAGATGCAACATGAAACCGCCGTTTAGATTCTGTAACGGTGGTGCCAACCTTTAGACAAAACTTAAGCGTACTTTGAAGCAACAATATGCGCAACATTGGTAAATATTTATCAGAGCTTAAATTACACTGTACCATCAGTATCATATCGTATTTGAGTCGTCTATTATCAAAGGTGGCAATCTGTGCATTTGGACAAAAAAAAATTATTGATATGTCAATACAGATTTATTTGAATATAATCGTCTCCTTCAAAGAATACGGTTCAAAACCTGCATTAAATAAAGGTTAATAGTTAACCTGTTATTTATCTAAGATGTCGTTCCGAAGAGTTTTGTGACTGCCAATGGAATACNTTTGAATATAATCGTCTCCTTCAAAGAATACGGTTCAAAACCTGCATTAAATAAAGGTTAATAGTTAACCTGTTATTTATCTAAGATGTCGTTCCGAAGAGTTTTGTGACTGCCAATGGAATACAAAGTCAATAATTCGTTTTTCTGATTTACCAATCATTGTCCAAAAGTCAGATTGCCGCCTTTGATAATAGTCGACTCATTTACAACATTGCGAGTTTAAATTTATTAGAGAATGGAAACCGCGTGGGACGCCCTCTGGCTAGCTGGTGCGATGACCTCCGAACGGTTGTCGGCAAGAAGTGGATAAGGAGGGCGGAAACCGGGCTCAGTGGTGTGGATTGGGAGAGGCCTATGTCCAGCAGTGGACGACTGTGGGTGATGATGACACGACATACTTCGTGAGCACGCGGCAAGTACGTATTATCATATTGTTACGCCGGTAAGAGTAACGCTGAAGTGTGTATACTTATATATTATAGCATAGCATAGCATTTATAACATAATTAACAGGTGTAATCTCGTATTTCCCCCGTAATGAGGCGGACCACCCAGAAACATAGTCTTCTTCATAATTGTAAACTAGGATTAAGATGATAATTAAACATGGAATACACGCAAGAAGACGTTTTCCTTTAACACCTCCCTAAGTACAACATTACAACGCCATCTATTGTCAGATAGCGGAAACTACTACTAGAGATGTGTGGAATATTCCCGATAATTCTAGGGATGAGGTTTCGGCTTTAAAAGCGTTGTAGAGATGGCACGTAGTCAGTCAGTAATCGGAACTACTCGAAGCGAAACAGCGAACGGATCACCTGAAGCGAAGCGGAACAAGCGAATTGAGAGTTTTAAAGTGTTTATTGAGTGTTTTAAAGTGTTTGTGAAGTGTTTAAGTGTTCTAAGTGTTGAATACAGTTTTTTTAAGTTGTACTTTGGTGAAATTTTATTTATCCCGAACCCCAGCGCGTAACAATATTTTTTTCATCTCTGACTGTGGGATCTGAAACCCGGCATGATCGCATCACTCGATATAACTGGTACTTTATCCTTTTTTGGGTTGTATCCACCGAAACCAAACTCCAACTACGGTTTCAAAAAGTAATTTCCGTACCCAATCTAAGATGATCGGCGGAGTCCACGACGAATATGACGGCGTGCGCCCGACGGTAATGCCTCTCCCACAGCGCGCGGTGCCGCGGCGCCCCCGACACATCCCAAGCCGTAAAACAAACTCCGCCACCTTCGAAAAACATTGTCAGATAACTTCCTACACAAAAAAAAATGTGTGCGTGTACTAGTGTACACACGTAAGAAGTGAAACTTGTTTATGGCCTTATTTTTCGAAAAATGATCTACATGCAACTTTCTAGAAATTGGTTAAATAAAGTTAAATTAGATAAAGTTTAAACAAAAGGATTTTATTATCATAGACATGAATACAAATAATACAATTATTTCACTTTACCTTTTTGCTACTAAGATTATTACAGCATTTCATTAATTGTAATAGAATTATTACTATCATTGTCATTGTCATTATATATTTTTGTAATTAATGGCTTATGGTAACTGAAATATGAAATATATGGTTTACATTCCACGAAATTTAGTGACCGAGTAAAAACTCCATCAATTGTAGTGCCAGATCTTGTTGTTGACGTTTGAGGACTGTTTTTCATGGATAAATTCAATTTATCTTTCAGAAATTCAACTAGCTTCAAAGAATTTTCCGATGCAAAATTTACATTAAAATCTCCACTTAAAATCATCGGTATTTTATAATTATTGTTACCGAGTAAAGAGGCACCTTCACTTGTGTACGGCAACAATGAATGGTGAAGAAAAAGATGGCGCGTAACGGAAAAATGTGACGCGTAACCGAAAAATGTGACGGTAAATTTTTTTCCAACGCCGATAAAGAAGTTTCACTTCAATTAACATAATCATCTCGTGAAGTGATGATAGTCGTATATATCTTTGTTAAAAAAACTGGATTCTTCGACTTTGAACAAAAGTGTATGGAATCCATGATATTCGCCTAAAAAGACGAATCTGATACAATGATTTCGTTATTTGGTTCTTGAAGTCGGCGTGCGAATTCGTTCCAGTCCTCGGTGGTAGACTAGCAAATTCTAATTTTTATTTTTTATTTTTTATTACTTAGATGAATGCGCTCACAGCCCACCTGGTGTTAAGTGGTTACCGGAGTCCATAGACATCTACAACGTAAATGCCGCCACTCACCTTGAGATATGAGTTCTAAGGTCTCAGTATAGTTACAACGGCTGCCCCACTCTTCAAACCGAAACGCATTACTGCTTCACGGCAGAAATAGGCAGGGTGGTGGTACCTACTCGTAACCAACCAGTAATTACGCAAATTATAATTTTGTGGGTTTGATTTTTATTACACGATGCTATTCCTTCACCGTGACAGTCAATCGTGAACATTTGTCGAGGAGGTTCATTAGAAAAATTGGTACCCGCCTGGGATTCGAACACCGTTGCATCGCTCGATACAAATGCACCGGATGTCTTATCCTTTAGGCCACGACAACTAAACCCTAGTTTGGGAGTGTTGTAAATGACATTTTTAACTAGTACGTGAAGATATGCGCTATATCATACAGTCACTGTTTTCTAAGCCCCATTTTTCGCACATTTCATTTTGTTAACTAATTCTGAGCTTCAAGACTTGACTAGATCATCCAAGACAAAGAGTTAATAAAAACTTCCGCATAAAACTGGTGGTAAGGGCATAGAAAAGTCGCCTTATCACAAACCTTCGCGAATTCACTCCGTGATTTCTATAATAAGTACCGCATTTCGTTACATCTCACGTATCCATACCCAACTACGAACAAAGAATATCTGCCCTATGAATTATAGTTAACGGAAAACCGTGATCATACGCTAGAATAAGTTAACCAGATATAGGACTATACTTTGAAAACTATCATGGTTCTGTGCAACGGTTGGCATTAAATGCTGCGCTCTTTGCTCAGGAGGGCGCAAGGTGTTCAGCATCGTACTCTTCCCGCTGTTGTCCAAGCCCAGCACTAGAACAGTTACTTCCATGCGACCTTTGCCGAGCCATGTCGAGAGCTTATCCAGCAGACCCATCTGGAAACTGTCAAGCAAAATATTACAGTTTGACTAGTGGTCTATAAAATATAAAATAGAGGGAAAAGGGCGTAGGGGTAGAGGTCCCAAACGATGGTAGGAATTGAGGGTACCTGTCAGCGACGCCCTCCACCAAGCTACAAAACGGGATCGATGGAGACAGCTGGTTGACGGAATCGGACGGAGTCACGATCCTCAGCAGTGAGGGATCGATCGAAGAGAGAGAGACAGAGAGAGAGATATATTTTACTGGTATTTGTTTAAGCCCACTGTGGTAAGTACTTCCATCCTATTTATTCCAAAAATCAATCCTGCATTTCGTTTTGAAGGCTGGAATGGATTTAATGGATTATAATTGAGACTCTGATCGTTTATGCTTTGAGGTGGGCGGAGGCATTGCCATTGTGGCGGAGTCCTGCAACTATTTAACAGCGCACACAGCGGCTGATTCACCGAACTAATCAACAAAAAATAATAAATAAGATTCGTATTTTCGGCACTTTTTTATCTTGATATTGAAAGTGAAATTCTCACCCCGCTCCTAATCGCTGTTGATTATGTAACATTACAAAACGTAAAATTAAAACGCCGTTATTGACAAGATCCAAATATCCTGACATTGCGATTTCAACACAAAAAACACAATCATAACAATATGTTTATCATCAAAAGTACAAATGCCTTTTTGGGTGTTGAAATAATTTTATTAATTTGCTATAAATAATTAACACTTTAAACAGGTAATCGATGTATGTAGTAGTATTTTAGTTTTTTAGCGTAAGGTTCCTGATTAAGTTGTTTTCAAGACAAAACATACCTCAATTGATTGTCTCTCAAAGGCCACGAAGAAAATTAAGTTAATTTAAGTCCATATAACGAATCTTATCGAGTTTTTCACATAATTGCCAAGTAAGTACACGTAAATTGATTTCATAGAAACGTCTTAAACAAAATACTGTTAATATAATTAATACTAATGTTTCGTTGATAATTCGACTAACTCTGTTAGAACGTTTTTCAGTTGTCATGGTAACGAAATGCAAACAACGTAACGTGACGTACCGTACAATGGGGTAAATAGGGACAAAATCGACCTTCAGATTGAATTTTAAAATAGTTCCAATTAAATAGTCACTGCTCAACCAAAGAAATAAGTTGAGTCTTGAACGTACCTAGGTGATAAAAACCGTAACATAATTTTAATTATTAATTTTAAAGAAATAATCGGTAAAATAATGGTCGTCCCAATTTACCCAGCGTCCGGGGTAAATTGACACGGTTAAGGGTTAAATTGGGATATTTGTAAGGGTTGTCAACTCGCAGTACTGCGATATATAGGTAGGTGCCATATAATTATTTATATGGACCGAAATGATGAATACAATCCATAATTTAAGCACAATACACAACATAGTGTAAATTAAGCTGGTTTCTATTCCGAAGCGATGTGACGTGAATGATAATCAACAATACAATGATCAAAAAAAGTATGTGCATGTTATATTTTAGAAAATTATTATTTAATTTCCTTAAAAATCACAACTCTGAAACAAAATGATAAAATAGAATAAAAAATAGAAAACAAAAGGACTGGAAATGCAATAATACAATTTTATTTAATCAACATTTTCAAAATAATCTTTGAGCAAGAGTAAGATATCAGGTGAATAAGATAAAAAAACAGCTTTATCTGATTACTGCCAATAATAACAAAAATAAAAGAAATTCTTTCTAAGCTAAATAACTAAACTCAATTAATTCACTCACTCATAATTGGATATCTCGGATTTTTAATTAATGTTACATTTAAAATCTGAGGCCTGTTTTTATTTGTGTGTGCGTTTTGAATGTTAACAAAATCATGATTCGACGCGTGAATAGATTCTGAAATAACAAAAGTTTTGATTCGTTTGAGTTCTTTTAACTTTTAATTTTTTTTATTGCTATAAAGAACATACGACCGGGCAGATATTACAAGGTAAATGTCGCGAAAAAAAAGTAATTATATATATACTTTTCTTTTACCTATAATACTTACATAAACTAACTGATAAACACATTAACCTTCTTTACATCACGCAATTAAGTGATAGTATAGGCTAAAAAATCTATTATAAGATATCAGTGACAACCCTAACAAGCCATCCCTATTTTGTCTTTTGGCGTTCCAATTTTGTGTTTTCTCGTCCCTAATTTTTCCAGTCTCGTTCCCAATTACCCTACATACGTCCCAATTTTCCCCAAAAAGAAAGGAAAAAATATACATTTTTTATTTTGTCGAAATATTGTATTTAAAATAAGAATATTGCAACTTACCGTTTGTTGTGGTATTTCCAGGTGTATTAAAAACTTATATAAACTGTGATCTTATTGAAAAAACAACGATAATATTACTTTTTTTAAAAGTTCTTCAAGCTGTTTCAAAACGCTCTTTTCAACCACTATTTTCAATTTAATTTGACGAATTTTTGGGACCAACTTAACTCATATTTAGTACTTCCATAGTTAACTTGGCTTTTCTTCTATACATTGATAAATATTAACATAAACAAAATTAGGTAGATTCCGTGCTACAGGTACTTTGAGAATCTTTCGCAGGTTTGTCCCAATTTACCCCAGGATCCCAATTTACCCCATGTCATGGTACTTATGCCCAACTGTGAATAAAATGTATAGCTCTGTTAAAAAGGTTTTTTTTAAATCTCATTGAATTGCTTTAGGTAATAACTATTTAATAGTAATACTAATAGTTTCTATCCCAGCGAATACTGCACTGTGGAAAATGTTGAAATGTTCAGGCCGTTGGAGGCTTTATCTTCTAAGCAGTCGAAGTCGTCGTACTGGCCTAAAAGATAAGATGTCCAATGCATTCGTATCTAGCGATGTAACGGTATTTGAATCCCGCTGGCAGGTTTTTTTTTCTTTCTAATATTCACGATTGTCTTCCACGGTGAAGGAATAACATCTATACTAATATTATAAAGAGGAAAGATTTGTTTGTTTGTTTGTTTCGAATAGGCTCCGAAACTACTGGACCGATTTGAAAAATTCTTTTTCCATTAGAAGCCGACATTGTCCCTGATGAACATAGGCTACTTTTTTAATTTATTTTTTTTTTTTTTTTTTGGTTTCATGTGTGTTTTAATGTTTCCGAAGCGAAGCGAGGACGGGTCGCTAGTAAAGTAATAAAAATCAAACCCACGAAATTATAATTATAATTAATGGGCTGTGAGCTCGTCCAAACATCTAGCAATAAAATAAAAAAAGGTAGCGAAATGCATGTAGCTCTGGTGCTGCTGAAATTTATGGCATTAACCACCTTTTATGAGGTGGTGGTACTGTACCTAAGGGTGGTACTGTAAGGGTGGTTTTCAAGCTTGTGTGCCATCGTTCACGTGGAAAAAATGAGCTAGAGTAGAACATTTTTATGATACTTCAACATTTACAATAATGAAAATAAACTGAAATTACACACGCTTGTGGGTTATTTTTTTTAAGAGATTTTATGACCTGGTAACTGAGACCTTTAAGTCATTTCTTATTTTAATCTATATTCTTAATTTTATGAAAAATGATATTATGGAGTGAAATGAAATGAAAATGATTAATTTGAGACATTAATCAACTAGGATGAAATTAAATGAGATGATATGAGATGAAATCTAATCTCAGTAAAATGGTGGTCATTTACTAAGATTTTTCAGTGGACTTTTTGGAGGATCCCGAGAAGTTACGTCCAGCGGCTTTGTTTCATTTTCCCACATTTGTGCACTTTCACAGATATTAAACGGTTAATAAACCACCATTATTACACATTTAAACCCGAAGAAACACTAAATAGACAAAATAAAACAAATCACACAACTTCACTCCTCGCGTTCCCGCCAAAAAGTCCGCTTGTGGGTTATTATTTAGGAAAAAGAAGCCAATATTGTGTCCACTTAATTACCGTCAAACGTCAGCTGATATAATGAATTTATTATCTATGTTGTCTATTGGCAGCTGTCAAATACTGTCAACGTCAACCGCTAATTGTTCACGCCTCACGGAAGGACAGCGAGTTTCTATTTCTCAACCTATGACTGATTATCAGCAATATATCTTTGGTTTTAATGTAAAAATTATCTATGAAATCAGTTGATAAACTTCGCAAAAGCGTCGAGACGCTATAAATGTCTTCTACCATCCATTAAAAATACAGTAACCAGTAAAATGTTCTCGCGATGCCTGGTGTCTCAAGTAAAACACAACTCTTACTTTTTAATAGGCCTATTAATTGGTTTGTGGGTGTCTCTCGCTGTTATACCGTTGGATGAAGAGCCGGCGCCTTGTGTAGCGACTGTAGGCAGTGCCTCTCCAGTTCAGGATGAATTTGTGCCACAGCGGGAGGAAAAACCAGCTGGTTCAGGACAGACGGCTGGGAGAAGCGTGCAACGACCCCGTTATTACAGCACTGAGCTGGGCATGAGAGGTGGGCTTATTCACAACTTGAACAATTTCTTAACACGAAAAAGCGTATTAAAAATTCTATTTCTGTTTAAAAAATCTCCAGCTTATCAAGGAGTTCTTCTACTTGATTTTTGTCAGTCATACATATATAAAAAATATCTCCCGTACCCTTGTTTTTTATTAGTCAACACTATACCGCACACATCCATTTATCTCTATCTCTACATTTATTAAAATAACCTTTTTTTCATTAGGTTCCCTTCTCACTGGAATCCTGAGCTCGGAAGAAGCCCTCAAAATCCAAGTGCCAGCTTTGAACCGAACAGCAGCTAGACTGCAGCCAGCCTTAAAATTCTTCATTACCGCCAGTGCAATGAGTACTGTACCTGGGCTGGCTAATGTTGTTGGCTTTACAGATACTAGGGAAATGCTAAAACCATTTCACGCCTTGAAGTACTTAGCAGATAATTATTTAGAGGAGTATGATTTCTTCTTCATTGTGTCCGACACGGCCTTTGTGAATGCAAGACGGTTGACCCAGCTGGTCTCTCAGTTGTCAGTCAGCCAAGATGTGTACATGGGGAGGGTAGCTGATGATGAAAGTCATTATTGTTCTTTAGGTAAGATATTTTGTTAAAAAGTATAGTAAATGCTGCTAAATTACCCAGCACAAAACTATTTCAGAGATTAAAGAGTGTCATATTCAATACAGTTGAGTCTTCACCATCTGTGATCTCATTCATATTGCACACTCAAACAAGTGCTTAACCTCTTCACAGTATCGCATTCTCTCAGCAGACTTCCCATGTTTAAGTGCCTTATGGTCATCTAAAATCTCATTAACACAAAGTGAACTTTAAGCTTGCTTAAACAACTATTAATGGTGTTATAATAATTGATTATATAGTATTAATAAAATTAGTTTTCCTTTTATCTCCCTATTAAAATCTAAAATAAACCTAAAAACATTTGAAGTAAAGTATGACTTGATGTAACACTTTAAACCCTTTTTTTTTTGTTTGACAGACAATGGAATAATCCTGTCTAACTCTGTGCTCCGCGCTATCCACAGTGAACTCGACTGGTGTGTACGCAATTCATATTCTCCTCACCACTACGAGAATATTGGTCGTTGTGTGTTACACTCTGCTCATTTGTCTTGCAATCCTGACGTACAGGTAAGGATTTAATATTGTTGTAAAATTCCTCTATAGTTCTGATATTTTGACTTTTTTCACCTTTTTAGTAAATTTATCTTTGTTAGTCAAAAAAATACTCAATCCAAACTCAGGAACTTCAAAAGGATCTGATGCAGGCATAATCAGGCGACAATGCTGTAGTTTGTTATTGTTTTGTAATTGTGTCTTGAAAGTTCTGGTAAATATTCTGGTAATTTTAATATGAAAATCCATGTCACCAAATGATTTTTCAGGGTGAACACTACTCATCAGTAGTTATCGAAAATGATCAACTACCATTAACAGAGTCGTTGGCTGATGCTGTAACAGTGTATCCGATCATGGACACTCACAGGTTCTACGAGATACACGCTTACATATCACGGGTTAGTTGCACTGCTTTTTAAAAGTATTAATTGAGATTTTTCTAGAATTATTCTTAATTTAAAGATACATTTTACAATGAGAATTTGACTGTTGAGTTTTTCCTGGCATTTCAATTTAGTAAAATTTTTTATTTTTATGAATGTTATAAAAGTCTCATACAAAAGATGTTATGTGGTCATTGACAATATTTTTTTATTCCTTTAATTATCATGCAATTGCATCCTCTGAACTACCATAGGTTCTTATGAACCTTCATGCCCGTGTTGATCACTCGGTCTCAACCAACATTTTTGGAAAGAAATTATTTAATTATGGTGGATAGATAATAATGATATTGCAATTAAGTCAGGGCCATGTCTACATAGCTCAGAATGACCATTCACACTATAGTGAATAATGACTTCAGTATAAACAAAAATTATTTAAAAGTCATATCTCGTAGATGCATATCACAAACAACGTAAAGTCTAATGTACTTTGATAAGATTACAATTAAAGTGAATTGTTCAAATTAATAGAAATAATCATTAATTGATTTTTGTGATACTTTTTCTTTGTGTACTTATAAGGTATCTGATTTTAGTCAAAAACTTTTTCATTGAATTAGACATACATTATTTTTTTCATCTAGCAATCATAATAAAAAATTATAAGTGCTTTTAAGTCGCAATGATGCTACTGCCATCTCAAAATGCAATGACATCACTGACAAGAATCAGCAAGGAAAAAACACTTTTTTTTTTGTTTTTACATTAATCAGTTATTTAAATCAGTACATATAATAAGATAGATCTACATTCATTTATTGCTAATATGTACACGCCACAGATACCACAACCTGACTGGCAATTTCAACCTAGTGCCCATGACCGTGTCGTCTACTTTCCTCACTAGTATTTCTGTTCACAGTAGAAAGTTTTTTTTTTTTTTTGGCAGGCGGGTACCAATTTTTCTAATGAAATACGTACTCAACAAATATTCACGATTGACTTCCACGGTGAAGGAATAACATCGTGTAATAAAAATCAAACCCGCAAAATTATAATTTGCGTAATCACTGGTGGTAGGACCTTTTGGGAGTCCGCACGGGTAGGTACCACCACCCCGCCTATTTCCGCCGTGAAGCAGTAATGCGTTTCGGTTCGAAGGGCGGGGCAGCCGTTTTAACTGTACTGAGACCTTAGAACTTATATCTCAAGGTGGGTGGCGCATTTACGTTGTGAATGTCTATGGGCTCCAGGAACCACTTAACACCTGGTTTATTTTATTTTTATTTTTTTATTGCTTAGTTGTGTGGACAAGCTCACAGCCCACCTGGTGTTAAGTGGTTACTGGAGCCCATAGACATCATCAACGTAAATGCGCCACACACCTTGAGATATAGTTCTAAGGTCTCCGTATAGTTACAACGGCTACCCCACCCCACCTGGTGGGTTGTGATCTCGTCCACCCATCTAAGCAATAAAAATAAATAAATAAAAAACTTGTCAGTGTACTTAGTCCGAGTTTTTTAATGTTCTCGATAGCGTAAAAGTTAACTCGAACGTTTGCCTACGTTTGCCGCTAGGGGCGCTGTTCCAGCTGCATACAAATTCGAGTTAACTTTTACGCTATCGAGAACGTTCATATCGTATCGAGACGTATCGAAAACGAAAGCACACTGTTCGCAAAGCGTCGTCATCAGTGGTGTCCGCGCCGCAGGTGTTTTTGGAACGCGACCACGAGGAGGTGCTGAAACTACGCAGCTACATGTGGCACAACTCCGCGCGCCACCCCCCCGGGTACAGGAACAGCACGTGGCCGGCCGGCCTCAGGGACGATCCCGGACTGGCCAGACCTTTACCGGGGAACAGGTGATTATCACAAGGTTTCCGAAGTCGGCGGACAGTCGAAGTTGGTACCAGAAACTTAGTGTGGCTGTCTGACATGAGACCATCCACATTGCGTTTCCAGAGGTCTTTTTAGCCACATACCATCCGGCTATGGAATGAGCCCCCCTCCACGGTGTTTCCCGAGCGCTATGACATACATATACTTCTTCAAACGAGGCTTGTGGAGAGTATTAAGCGGTAGGCAGCGGTTTGGCTCTGCCCCTAGCATTGCTGAAATCCAAGGGCGACGGTAACCACTCACCATCAGGTGGGCCGTATGCTCCTCTGCCTACAATGGCAATAAAAAAAAGACCAGGATTTCCAATAATTAAAATTTGTTTAGAAATTCAAACAGCTGAAGGGGACTGGCCTGTCTATTCGTAACGCGTGCTATACAATAAAATCGATATTTCGACCTCATGTCTCAGCGTGTGCCGGTGCTCATGTTGTGATATACTTCTTGTAAGTACTTATCTACAGTTCTCATTATCTCGGCTAGCGCATTACCTATTCGTTCCCCAAAAAACAATTGATTAAACCTAAACAAACATTTTGAAAAGTTGGCTAAATATTTTGATTCTGAGGGTTTTGTGTCGGGACGAGTTGTCCACCGCTGCGCTGTTGTCCACAGGTTCGACCACCTCCGCTGGACGGCAATTAACGGGACCCACGCTTTCTTTCCGGACGACCACCACAATGTATTACCGATCACCGGAGCTTACAGAGAAGCCTTGGATGTAAGCTCAGTTTGACAAAAATACTTTAAGGAAGTTTTGTTTCGCTTATTGAAATTTAAAGTGTTTTCAATCTCATGGTGCTTGGAAGGTGCATATGGAAGTGTGAAAGTAGCCCCGGTGATTGACAAATTAAAGACGGTTAGCGTGGTATGGACATGTGATGCGTAGATAGAAGATGCATGTGACTAGGAGATGTATCGAAATGGTAGTGCAAGGTAGAGGGGGAAGAGGTCGACCGAGGAAGACATGGATGGAGTGTGTGAATGACGATATGAGAGAGAAAGCAGTGAGTGTTGAACTGACGGCTGATAGAAGAGAATAGAAGAGAATAATTAGCTGTGTCGACCCCACCTAGTGGAATAAGGTGGAGACAAAAAAGGTCCTTGGAAGGACATTTAATCTAACTTTAAAATTTGATTGAAAATATGTAGATGTCTATGGGCTCCAGTAACCACTTAAAACCAGGTGAACTGTGAGCTCGTTCACCCATCTAAGCAATGAAAAAAAGAACACCTCGCGTTCCTGTCAAAGTCCTTCTTTAATGTTAAATGTTGTAACGGTATCAGGAACCGATTACTTTACATCTTCTTCTGCTTGAGTATACGTATCTAAGCGTGTCTAGCCTCGAGCTGCTGTGAGGTTCACCGAAGCCCGATATTGCTGAGAGGCACGGAAGGTGCATCACCCCACGAGCTCGTTGCTTCCAGCTGGTCCTCACCCAAGTGAGGGCGTGGTCGCTGCACCGCTGGCCCGAGGCGCTGGACGTGCAGCTGGTGGAGGGGGCCTGGAAATGGGAGCCGGCCGTCGCGCTGCGGTACCGCCTCCTGCTCCGCCTCACCGCCAAGGAGGACAAGGACACGCACGTGAGCAATCGTGAACTTTTACGTGTAGCTTCTTTGGGGAGGCTTAAACGACAAAGAGAAGATCTTCCACCAAGCGTGTGATATTTGCTCGATAGACCGACGGTCCGAATGTTGTTGTTCGGAACTTGCATATATGCGAGCTCATCTTGAAAATGTCGTAAGCGAGATTCAGGCATCTGTCAAATATCCTGCGTTGTATGATGGCTACCCTTCATGGCCACACTTCTGTTACAGTCATACCGGCAGAACTAGTCAAGCAATAATCGCCTAAAGAGCCCATAGACACGTGGTTCGATGGTTCTGATGCAGAGGCGTATCTCAGCCACAGAAGTGGTGCCCTCTGAATGGGCTTCAGATAGCCTATAGGAAGCGGCTTGGCTCAGCTCCTGGCATTCCTGAAGTCCATGGGCGACGGTAACTACTCACCATCAAATGGGCCGTATGCTCGTCTGCCTACAAGGGCAATAAAAAAAAAGCCTTGAAACTGCGATACTTTAAGACAAATATTTTTGTTATGTGGAAACTAGCGACATCTTGTAGCGGATGTCCTTAAACTTATATTTTGTTAAAGTTAAAGCATTTAATTATTGTACAACTAAACATAGAAAAAAAATCATACAAGTCTTTATTTGTTGTCAAATTGATGAAATTTTATCAATTTGTGGTATGTGAAAATTTACAAAATCCTTCATTAAAAATAAAATATAGGATAGGTAATATGTTACTGCCATCTACAGGAGCAATGAGAAAGTAATCGCAGTGAAGCCATCTGGTGGCCGACGCCCGTAAACATTTTTGTTGAGTGCTTGAGTTGCTAATCTATAACTAATTTATGAGTACTAGTGATCCCCCGGTAGTCGAAATTCGACTATAATTTATTGAATATGTACTCTATTATGATTCTTTTGTCAAACACTTATACTTCTATAATCACAGATTTCGCGAAGACTACACTTTAGACAAATATTAATAAAGACAAACAATATTTAATCTTTATTTTTTATTTTAAGAGATTTTATGACCTGGTAACTGACACCTTTAAGTCATGTCTTATTTTAATTTATATTCATATTTTTATGAAAAATGATATTATGGAGTGAAATGAAATGAAGATGATTAATTTGAGACATTAATCAACTGGAATGAAATTAAATGAAATGAAATAAGATGATATGGGATGAAATATAATCTCAGTAAAATAGTGGTCATTTACTAAGATTTTTTCAGTGGACTTTTTGGGAGGATCCCAAGAAGTTACGTCCAGAGGCTTAGTTTCATTTTCCCACATTTGTGCACTTTCACAGATATTAAACAGTTAATAAACCACCATTATTACACATTTAAACCCGAAGAAACACTAAATAGACAAAATAAAACAAATAACACAACTTCACTCCTCGCGTTCCCGCCAAAAAGTCATATTTAATCTATTCTCGATTTGACCACAGAGTATAAGCAATAAGAAAAGTTTGACAATAAACAAATAGTATGCATGCGTTCGTGTGTCAAATATATAGTACAGCGTGTAATGTTTTATTTATTGATTTAATGTATTTTTTATAAAAATATTAACATTCTGCACTCCTTCTCTATATTCTCTATAAGTGTGGGAAATTTCATACTTCTCAGTCGGCGCAATTTTCGTAAAAAGGAGTGTAAAGTTTTTGCTTCACGTATCACTACATAGAAAACAAAGTCGCTTTCTCTGTCTCTATATCTCTATGTATGCTTAAATCTTTAAAACTACGCAACGGATTTTGTTGCGTAGTTTTTTTTAATAGATAGAGTGATTGAAGAGGAAGGTTTATATGTATAATAACATCCATTAAATAGTGGAGAAATCAATAATAAATTACAGTTTCCGAAGCGAAGCGAGGGCGGGTCGCTAGTAATATATAGATTGTCTATGGGTCGGTACAGAGGGTTCCAACAAGCGCGTGGTGTGCCCGCAGATGAGCAGGCTGGTGGAGGCGGTGCGTCCGCTGGGCGCGGCGCGGCTGGTGCCGGTGCGCTACGTGACGGAGAGCGCGCGGCTCAGCGCCGTGCTGGGGGCGCCGCACACCGCGCGCCACGCCGCCGACCTCGCCGCCTTCCTGCAGCGGTACGAGGCGGTCTGCCTCAACCAGGACAAGAACACCGCGCTCCTGCTGGTGAGCTACGTCCAGCGGTTCTGTTGCATTTACCCACATTTGTGCACTTTCACAGATACTACAGATATAAGCGGTAGGCAGCGGCTTGGCTCCGCCCCTGGCATTACTGAAGCCCATGGGCGACGGTAAACACTTACCATCAGGTGGGCCGTACGATCGTCTGCCTACAAGGAAAAAAAAACTAAACAGTTAATAAACAACCGTTATGACACATTTAAACCTGAAGAAACACTAAATAGACAAAACAAATCACACAACTTAACTACTAAAAAATACTAAACAGTTAATAAATAACCGTTATTACCGTACGTTACCGTCTCTGGTAGCCATAACACAAGGAATTGAGACCGGATGACCGTGCGTGATTTGTTACAATTATTAGTACTAGTGGTCCCTATAATTAATTGAAATTATTAGTTTAAACATTATTATGGTTCTATTGTCAAAGACTTATTCTTCTTATACTTCTTAGACTTCTTATACTTTTATAATCACAGATTTCGCCAAGACCACACTTTAAGCAATAACAAAAGTTTGACAATAAACAAAGAGTGTAATGTGTGTAATGTTTTTTTTTATTGATTTAATTATTTAATTATTTTTATTATTTAACTAATGCATAAAAAAAAATAGCATTCTGCACTTCTTCTCTATATTCTCTATAAGTGTGGGAAATTTCATACTCCTCCGTCCGCGCAATTTTCGTAAAAAGGGGTACAAAGCTTCACGTATTAATATATAAATGACTTAAAGCCAGACCGTGACGAGTCCGCTACAAAATGGTAAACGGTCATTACGGACCCTCCCGATCCATTAATGTCACCTCAAGCACCTACTAAATTCACAACACAATTATAATTCCAAATAAATGAATACTCCAGGTGATAGTGAAGCAGCCTTCCGTCGGCAACACCACTGAGGTGGACCTCATGAAGGAGAACAAGGAGACGGTGGCCGCGCTGAAGTCCCGGCACAAGGACGCCCAGATCGAGGTGGTCGAGACGAGCCTGGAGTCTCCCAGCCACGAGCACGCCAGCGAGGTGGAGCTGCTGCAGGAGGCGCAGCGGGCCGCGCTCGCCCTCGCCCTGCAGCGGGTACCCCGGGACAGCCTGGTGCTCCTCGCCGTGCCGCACATCGACTTCAACCAAGACTTCTTGAATCGGGTGAGTTTTTTTTTACACGCTTTATATTAGCTTCACTTGTATGTATGTTTGTAACTGACTCCTTTAGACGAGATTTTGACCCACTTTAAACGGCCAGATTTCATTCAAGTACAAAGTTTGAATGTTCCGTTATAACTACTGAACCATGCATCCGATTGACTTGAAACTTGGTATCCATGAAGAAAATACATGTACTTAATGGATAGGCTAATATTTATATGAGTGTTGGACTCCCTATATCAGTTGCGGGGGCGTTAATGATGAGAATCTTTGTGGGGGTGAGAAATAATAATGTTAATTTTAAACGCCCAGCGAAGCGGACGGGTACAGCTAGTTCTCTATAAGTGTGGAAAAATTTCATACTCCTACATCCGCGCAATTTTCGTTAAAAGTACCCACAAAGTTTTTGGTTTCACGTATTAATTATTAGTGTTTCTAAGACTTGTCCGTGGCTGCTTTGTTTGTCGCCATCTCCGAGTGTAGCTGTGTAAGGTCGCGTGCCGTGTCGTTAGGTCCGCATGAACACGATATCCGGCGAGCAGTGGTACCTGCCCAGCGCGTTCTCCCGCTACGCGCAGTACGAGCACCCCGCCTTCGTGACCCCCACGGGCGCCAAGCCGCAGTCCAACACCGGCCGCTTCAACGTGCACCTCAGCCTCGTCTCCTCCTTCTACAGGAGCGACTACGACTCGGGTGAGACCTTATACACCTTAGAGACCTTAGTACTAGAAGTCGGAGTGGGTAGATTGATTTAAAGTCGTTGACGTCAAACGTAGAGGATAATATGGATATGCCTCCAAAATACCGGAACTTCATATTTATTGTGATACTAGCTGACCCGGCAGACTTCGTAGTGCCTCAATCGATAAATAAAAGACCTAAACTTTTGTATAAAATAAACTTAAAACAAACAAAAGGAATCCATCCGACGGGGGGACACATCAAGGTAAAAACAAAATTGTTATTTTTATTTTATTCCGAGCATTTTCATATTTATCTACCTTTAAACCTTCCCTGGACTTCCACAAATAATTCAAGACCAAAATTAGCCAAATCGATCCAGCCGTTCTCGAGTTTTAGCGAGACTAACGAACAGCAATTCATTTTTATATAATATATAGATTTGTTCTGGAAATTTGAAATTAGCATGAATCTATGTTTAAGGTGATAAACGTATTAATAATATTAATCTACGCTACCGGTGCTAGGTAATGGTGAAAGAAATCAGTATTTTATTTTATATAATACAAAAACACCTTGGAATTGTTACACCGTATTTTGTCCCTTTCTGTTGAATTAGAAATGACGTTTGTCAGTATGAGACAAAACTTAGACAGGGCTTTTTGTTACTTTATCTCATAAATATAGAAATTGTATCCGATGAGAATTAATTTTTTTTTTTTTTATTAAAAAAAATAATAGTTATGGATAAAATGGCATGTCCATATTATAATATCTTGACGCAAGTATATAAAATCAATCTACCTACTCCGACCATTGGTTATTACCCTGCTCAAACCGGAACACGTGATCACTTTGAAGGAGCAACAGATAAGAAGTTATAATTTGCGTAATTACTGGTGGTAGGACCTCTTGTGAGTCCGCGCGAATAGGTAACACCACCCGTGAAGCAGTAATGCGTTTCGGTTTGAAGGGTGGGGCAGCCGTTGTAACTATACTGACCTTAGAACTTATATCTCAAGGTGGGTAGCGCATTTACGTTGTAGATGTCTATGGGCTCCAGTAACTAGTTAACACCAGGTGATCTGTAAGCTTGACCATTCACCTAAGCTATAAAAAAAAGTGGTTCATCTGTACTTAAAGAGTGTACATTTCTCAGCCACGAGTAACTATTTATTTTCTTATCGAGATATCGCAACTTCAATGTCTCCGTCTATGTCGAGGCAAGCGATCGAAGTGTCCATTGCAAAAGGTTTACGGCCCTTCCACAAGAGTAACGGGCATCGTGGTGGTTTTCTTTTTTTTAATTGCTTAGATGGATGGACGAGCTCACAGCCCACCTGGTGTTAAGTGGTTACTGGAGCCCATAGTCATCTACAATGTAAATGCGCCACCCACCTCGAGATATAAGTTCTAAGGTCTCAGTATAGTTACAACGGCTACCCCACCCTTTGAACCGAAACGCATTACTGCTTCACGGCGAAAATAGGCGTGGTGGTGGTACCTACCCGTGCGGACTCCCAAGAGGTCCTACCACCAGTGGAAGTTAATCGTGAACAATTGTTGAACACGTATTTCATTAGAAAAATTGGTACCCGCCTGCGGGATTCGAACACCGGTGCATCGCTACATACGAATGCACCGGACGTCTTATCCTTTAGGCCACGACGACTTTTTTTTTTAATTGCTTAGTTGGGTGAAGTTGGCCGCAATCTAAGTACAGTGTTTATAGCGGTGGCGGAGTGGCCTGGCCCCCCGGGGGCGGACCCCGCGGCGGTGCTGGTCCGCAGCGGTCTGCGCTGCGTGCGCGCACCGGAGCCGGGGCTGGTGTACGGGTCGCGGGGGGCGCCGTGCGGGGAGGCGGGGGGCGCGGCGTGCGTGTCGCGGCTGGTCACGCAGCTGCACACGCTGGACCTCGGCGCCAAGCACTCGCTCGCACAGCTGCTGCTCGAAACTCAAGCCGAGCTGGACCAGTAGCTCACTGACACTATACTACATATCTGGAGGGTAGAAGACCATTAAGCGACATTTCATTCAATTTACGATCTTTTTTTCCAAATTTTTAACTTTGAATGGCTCTCTTGTAAATTTGCAAAAATGTCACTTAAACCAAACAGACTTTCACCCCTCGATATGAATCTGTATTATTACAATTTTTTCTTTTTTATGATTCTCTACATTGGACACTGTTTTTGTCCCTAAATTACGATTAACGTTCACTGTGATCAAGTTTTAATCATATTATTATATAATAATTTTTAATACAACGGAATTTTGTATTGAAAAAAAAAAGTACAATAATCAACTAAAGTGCCTTGAACAAAATAAAATTTTTATTTTACAATCTGTATTTTTTCATTTCTCTCCGTTACCGTGCGCAAAAAAATTCTCGCTTGGCGTCGCCTCGGCAGGGTTTTTTTTTTTGGTCAGGAGGAAATCGCCGGACTTCCGCCCTCCCCTGAGGATGAAGGGCGGGCCATGTCGGAGTCGAACTGACTAAAACCTGTCGCTCAACGACCCGCGTCCGAACCTCGCATGAGACAGAACCCATGAAATCACTTTCGAATTATTATTTTTTAGTTTAATTCATCCCATCACTCGTTCTAATAAGTTCTCAAACCTGCTCCTCTACCTTCATGAAATTTCGAAGACATGCTTAATGCGGCAATAATACATGGCATATCAGCTCACATTTATTTCTTGGGGCGGGCGATAAGAAAATAAAACAACACACAGATGGGGGCGAAAATGCGATATAATTACAACGTAAACAATAATAATACTCGCGAGGCGTAAGACGAACGCGACACAGACGATACTGGACCACTTTCTCAACGAACCAAAAAAGTACCTTAACACAACATACTTGAATACTATTTTAACTAACAGCAATACTAAAATCGTGCGCGCCTGTACTTACACTTCCGCGGACACCGTCTGCTTATACTGGGTGTTAGGAGACCGCTTCCGAAAACGAAGAAAGACGATAGTAGTACTGACACCTTTTGATGACGGGACGGAAAAAAATCGATCCTGACTTTAAAAAAAAAATCATATTTTTAAAAAGTTTTATCAGCATTATTTACGCTCCATCATGTCAGTAAATCTAAATGAAACGATAGTTTCATAAATAAAAAAACTAACAAAATACGCTTTTATAGAAAATCCAACTAAAAAATAGAAAATCAACTTTAATAAATTTGAAATAAAAATAATGTAAGTAAGTAGTAAGTAAAAAAATTATTTCTTTTTAATTTTTTAATTGAATTTAAAAGTTTTCTATATATTTTTTTTAAATACCGAATTATCATCGGTCCTTAATAAGTATACCAAATTTCGAGTTAATCCGACGTTTTGAAGGGGATCAAAATCATGTTCAAAGATTCCGTTACATACTAACATGTAATACATAAGTCTGAAGCTAATAAAAGCGTATTAAAAATACATTACTAATAAATAAAAACAGCAATGAAACACAAAATCAAAAACAGCTGATGCTCGGGTCAACGAACTCCCGCGCGCGGCGCTGACTCGCGCGATCGCACACATACTTATTTACAACATTTGTCTAAATAACTCCATCATCAAAGGTGTCATTAGTGCTATCATCTGTCTTGCATTTTCGGAAGCGGTCTCGTATGCACCCAGCATATCGAAGGGTGATAAGCTATTTGGTTTAAGCAACATTTTCTAAACTCCATAGAGCCGTTTAAAGTTTAAATTTGGAAAAAATAACATGACAAAAAATCTTCTTCAACTATATGTTGATTTTAATACCAAATAAAACGGATCTTTAATTACAAAGCCAAAGGTCACTTATACCAAATAGCCTTCTTTCACCTCTCGATATCATCTTATTAGACTCACGCGAAAATTACTAACACGTGTGTTGCAATTCTTTTTATTGCACAACTAAAATGTAAGCACATGCGTGTCTCAGAAATACAATCAATACATAAAAATTAATGTCTTTTATCGAAAACATAGTACAATGGAAGGAGAGAACGGCGTTCGAAGATCACATTCGGACACAGAACGCGGCACAACTTGCCGGGGTGGCTGCATTTTTTATTTATTAGATGGGTGAACGAGCTCACAGCCCACCTGGTGTTAAGTGGTTACTGGAGCCCATAGACATCTACAACGTAAATGCCGCCACCTACCTTGGGATATAAATTCGAAGATCTCAGTATAGTTACAACGGCTGCCCCACCCTTCGAACCGAAACGCATTACTGCTTCACGGCAGATTAAATGTTCCCAAACCGAATACAATCTCCGAACACGTCAACACACAAGAGATCGCGTGAAAACAACATTGACAACAACATCCGTCAAACTTGACATCGAAGTTAGAGGTACATACTTCAAACTGACAGTTGTATAGTGGTACTAGTGGGCGGGGCGTGTTGCTTACTGCTCGTAATGCACATGACATTAGACAGTTATGACTAAAAAAAAAAACAAATGAATAAATAAATAAACAATTGAACTTTTAGCGGATTCACAAGAGGTCCTACCAGTAAAAAGCCTCAATTGTATTATGAGAGTGGACCTTACAAACTGGAACGCACGACTCACATGAGCATGCCCTTTTATTTCCTACCTTTTCTATTGACCTCGAGAGGTCATACTAGATTCACCGGGCAAGAAGCCTGCCCGAACGGTCTCACGCGTACCATCACTTACTACTACTACGGCAACACACAGCCGCCCAGACCACTCTCGCCAGTTTCAAGATCCCTGTCTACCCAAAAACATTTCAAATCTCTCAACCCCGGAACTTCGTGTTGTGTCCACGTGCCGCTTTCATGTTAAGACTTAAAAAAAAAACTATTAGCCACAATAAAAAATACAAACTAAACTAAAACTAAAGGCATTTTAAAATATTAAATTAAATTATTTAAAAAAAAAAAAAAAAATCATAAATTCACTTTTGTAACATAATGTGAGTCGTCTATTATCAAAGGTGGCAATCTGTGCATTTGGACAAAAAAATGTTATTGATATGTCAATACAGATTGATTTGAATATAATCGTCTCCTTCAAAGAATACGGTTCAAAACCTGCATTAAATAAAGGTTAATACTTAACCTGTTATTTATCTAAGATGTCGTTCAGGAGAGTTTTGTGACTGCCAATGGAATACAAAGTCAATAATTCGTTTTTCTGATTTACCAATAATTGTCCAAAAGTCACATTGCCGGCTTTTATAATAGTCGACTCATGTGTACTATACTCAATTATTGACTCAATTTCTTCTAGAGATTTTTTTTATTTTATTTCGATAATAAATTTTATACATCATCAATCTCTGTTGCAAACAGTACACATTAGATTACACGTATAAAATTCCTCAAATTTACTTCCCGCGAGTATAAAAATAACTTCGCGATGAACATGGCTGTATCGATGGTAACAACAAGACAAAATATTTAATTGCGTATATAACCGTCTTGGCCTTTTACAAAATTAACAGATGTCACATCTGTCAAAGTGACAGGAGACATTAGCCATACGTCAGTGCGTGTTTATAGGAAATTCCGAAGGAGTCTTAGACGTAATGCCTCCTGCTGATTCTGACGTCAACCAGCACATTAACCACGAGCTGCCTCTCGTTGTGGACTTTGGAGTAAGTCTGCATCCCACAGAAACATGACTAATGTCTCGCGGTTTCAATTACAAACTTCAATTAAATTATCACAAACCGACATCGTATCATTATAGGCAGTGTTAACAATTCAAATGCTTACAAAAAGACATCATCAGACGTCAATTTAGACATTAGAAGGAAGATGACTGGACTTGAAAATAAAGCCGTTATTTTTGTTAAAAGTATAGTTATAATTTCAAGTACAAAACCATAGTCAAAGAAGAGGCGTCCCGTGATTTTTTGTTAGACACAATTTAAATATAATTTAATTAGATTAGATGTTTTTTGTTGATAAAAAAACCCCCCAGCTCGCCAATCAATAACCTTAGATCGTTAACATCTAGACTTCCTCTAAGCATTTGAAATTGTTGCACTTCCGTTTATATTAAGACAAACAATAATGTCGAGGCAAATATTCGCTTCAGGTATATAATATATATACTAATACATAATATAAAACGTTGGTTGGGATCATAAAATTTCATGGGTACTCTAGAAATATTTCAACAATTCCGATCAATCTACCCTCAGAAACGATTGAAATATTTATCATTATTGATAGATAGGATTATCGAAAAGAATGATTCTTGTCGCGATTCTTAACCGTGAATTAAAAACGCAGTTTTGAACGCATTTCTTTTCAGAATGTTAATTCTTCGGCTACAATTGAAATTTAACTATAATGTTACACCAGCTGTTCCGATTGTAACAAACCATTTAACTTCAAGTCGTTTTGAGAGTAAATATTTCGTTATCAGACAAAGTTAAAAAATGATTAATTATATCTTCCCATTACAGTATACTATAATCAGATTTATTAATAATAAATATATATGTTTCCTATCACAAACAATTTTTAGTATCAAATATTGCTTTTGTATTATGGTTCATTGCATTAAATTTATTAATTATTCTCACTATTTTTTAGTTTACAACACTAACACTGACAATTGTGTGTTGCCATGATAAGGCCATACTATTTCAACTTCAATAAATTTGCAAACTCAAATATTTGTCATTTACGTGTACTTGAAAACATATCTCAATTAATTAGCCAGTAAACAGAGAGTGAGGCAATTTCTTTTAAGCTTTGAAATTACCATATTTATATTTATATATTGCTCAATGAATTTATATTAAACATTATAGATTAACCGAAGCTTATCTCATAGAGCAAAGCACAGTTCAGTATCGACTTCATAGAAAAATCAATCGATACAATTCAAAGTCTAAAAAATCAAACATTTTAATGTTTTGTTGATAAAATTTTAAATGTTAAAAAATATATTTTGTACATGTCTTTCGCTGGATTAACATCAGTTTGTGTGATACTCTGTTTACTGCTTAAAAAAAGATATTGGCTTATGGATGTTGAAAAGCATACGTAAGTCCCAAGTGCCAGTAACAATGTTAATATATTGCAAACAACATAATGTCAACTGACTACGAGTTACGTCAGTTCGAATTTGTATACCGTTATAGAAATTCCTTTGTTATGCATTTGAAAAACAGTGTTCATTTTTGCTTGTATTTTTTTTCTTTTCTTAAACACAATTTTTCTTTTATACTATATCATTCTAAATATATAATAATATTACATACAAATACATTTTACAAATGCGAATTAAAGGCATAATACGATACGCGCTTAAAACTTATTTTAATCTATGGAACGTGAAAATAAGACATGTGTCATTAACTCTAGTGTTCAGTTGACAGTTGACATAAGACGTCAAGATAACTCAACACTGGGTGAGTGGGTACATGCCAAATTATGGAGGGTAGAGGTAAGGAGAACTGTCTCTGTGTGTTAATTGGTGCCATTAAAATCTGCTAAATAAGGGTGACGCTACAGTAGCAACCGAGTAAAATTTAAAAAAGGCGCTGAAAGTTAGTAGAATAAGATACGAGAAATAAAAAAGGACGAAAAAACTGTACGCACTACAAAATCACAAAAATTATTTCATTTAGGTAAAGCTGATAAGAAAATGCAATCGATGTCTCCATGTTTTACCACAGCAATAATTTTAGGTTATATTGACGAAATTAGTTTGGACTACGTAAACATGAGGTTTTATATATTACACTGTCACTAACTACTCTAGTCATTAAATATATTAAATTTCCTAACTCAGCATACTTCAATCAGTTAACAACTGCCCAATTCATATCATACCCTGTGCCTATGCTAGCGCCATTTTGGAGGATTTTTGAACTGTTATTTAGTGCTGAAAGTGGGACACTTTTTCAAGCTTCTCCCACATGAGACGGTTCTCCTTACCTCTACCCTCCATATGCCAAAAAAAGCTTTGTTTGTTTCCAAAGGATTCACCTTATGCGGCCTTCTCAATAAATATCAAATACAAATAATTTTATGGTACTTTTAATGCAGAAATTAAAATTAAGCCCTTGTTTAAGAATTAAGACGCGTATCGTGCTTTTTTTGAGGTAGTTAATGTTCTATAAATCGATTTTTTTAAACGCTTCTAATAGTTAAGAAGAGACCGCCAGCCCGCGCAGGCGAAGCGAAGTCAGTGCCAACCGCTATATCAGAGCGCTGACTCAATAGCAAATTTAACTAAACCCACGTCACTATAGAATCTCTACGCGGACACGTGCCCCAGTACACTGGTCTCGCGGGATCCCGGGGTCCATACAAGTACAACGTAAATATTAATTTATATTCCATAAGTTCTGTCCCACTCTTCAAACTGGAACGCTTACTTTGGGGCGGTATTTAAGATGGCTTATGTGCACGTTAATAAGGTATATAATTGCAAAAAAATGTTTCTAAGCAACTGTATGAGCCGGATCTAACAGCATACTGTCTTTGAAACATCCACGGCTAATATTCAAACCAGTCTTTTGAAAGCGCCGTGTTGATCAGAACCCCACTTCAGGCGTACCGTAAAGTATGTTATACGATTTTCAACTTTAAGTCAAGGCGGACGAGGTGCGGAACTCATTTAAACGCGGACCGAGGTAATATTACGTTTATACTTTCAAAACCATAGACAAAGATTACACGTCGACGCAGGTACTTGTCTATGGACCGACCAAGCTAAACGATATATGCGTTATTCTTTTCACAAATATCACCTCTATATAAATTTAAAACGCCGATATTAATTACGCAATTATTATTTAAAGGTTTTCATCGATCCATATCCGTTCACAGATCTTGGGTCACAGACTTTGAGACGCGAGTTCCAAGTATTCCCATTGACCCAAAATGTGTGAGGTCTGGCGAATTTCGCATCATTCCTTTAAAAGTAATGCAATCTGGATTGTTTATAGGGTATTTTGATCTTGACACCGATCTCGCTCACTCTCGCGTTTGTCGTCACGCGTGCGAAAGAGACGGATGCACAGCGGCGCCAGTGAACGCAGTATAGAGTTAATAATTTATAATAACTACGGCGAACATAAATAATTCGTAAATAAGATACAGGACCTGCTAATAGATCGGCTCGTATGCAAACTCTGCAGCGTTGTGCCTCAAACGATCTCAAACTTTGCTCAACAAACATAAAAAATTAACCCAGATTTGCTAAGAGTAAGTGCATAACTAAAATCATACGTCATAACATAATAATTAGGTTCGTTTTAATTAATAGTTTATTTACGTTGTATCAATCCGAGTGCACGCCGTTCTCTTTCTTCTCCTGCAATCAATAGAAATGACGTCAGTGAGTACATCATCATCATCATCATCATCGACTGGCAGCGCCCGAGCTACAGGGACATTGTTCATCAGCTCGGAACGCACTAGTGCTTCGCGGCAGAAAGGGTAGAACCGTCCCCACCCGAGCGTGCTCATACATCTCGGTACCAGTTATTTATTCCTTAGAAATTTAAATCAAAATTCAAGTTAATTTAAACAACCACCAGGTGGTGAAAAGTGTTTTTATTTTTTATTTTTTTATTCTTTATTCCTTAGATGGTTGAACGAGTTCACGGCCCACCTGGTGTTAAGTGGTTACTGGAACCCATAGTCATCTACAACGTAAATGCCGCAACCCACTTCGAGACACGAGTTGTAAGATCTCAGTTTTGACAGTACAACGGCTGCCCCGCCCTTCAAACCGAAACGCATTACTGTTTCACGGCAGAAATAGGCGGGGTGGTGGTACCTACCCGTGCGGACTCACAAGGCGTCATACGACCAGTAAGTAAGGTGGGCCGTATGTTCGTCAGCCTGCAAAGACAATAAAAAAAACATAGCGTTTAAGATAATGACGTCACAAGTGCGGTCCACTCACCGAATGATTGGCGATGCTCCTGATGTTGGCGGGCGGCACACACAGCGAGGTCCACTCCCCGTCGGGCGAGTACAGGCACTCCACGCACGAGAGGAACTCCTTGCCGTCGAACCCTCCCACCGCGTACACCACGCCCCCCACCACGGCCAGCCCCACGCCAGCGCGGGCTGCCAATGACATGACAATACATGCGTGAATCGGTCATGTTAACTGAAGCCATGTCGACAGAGATTATTTGTGGTTTAAGCACCAATCATCATGGTGGAATATTAGGTTTTACAAGATTCTAACCAGCAACCATTATTAACATGGTCAAAAGTTTCACCTTAATAATAATAATACGCAGTATTAGAACTGTGAGCTGAGCGTACACTCATAACAGACTTGACTGATACACATGTGCACAAACCTTTCCTCATATTAGGCCCAGCTTTCCAAGTACCGTCGCGTGTCTCCAGCCAGTCGGTCCTCCGCAGCGAGGCGGCTCCGTCCGAGCCCCCCGCCGAGATGAGCCTCGACCCCCACACGCAGCCCCCAACGGAGCGCCGGGCTGTCGGCAAGGGGGGACCGGGGCTCCACGACTGGCCCCCATTTATGGTCAGAGTCTCAGTCGACGACAAGCAGTGCCATGCGTCACAGCCTCCCAGTGCCCACAAAGACCCCTCCCACCACACTCCAGAACATTGCGACCGACCTGTTGTCAGAAAATGTATAATATACATTGGCGCAATGTCACCATTTAGTTAACTACAAATTGTTAAGATTAACTCCTTAATGTTACGCATGTCAAGAGCTGCTTAAGATGGTATTCAAGTGAATTCATGACTAAGCTACCCTCAGTTTCTACTGTAAATACGAGTGACTATTGTCGCACAAAGCATTCCGACTCGAACAGTCGACCGGAGCGGACCTCTCTGTTGTTGTCGCTGTACACTTGAAGTGTAGTATATGGAATACATTGGAAAAGTGAGTCTTAATTACTGTCACTATGGAAGGCAATGATAATGATGAAGAGAATGGCGTCTGCAAGGCTGACGTCATCGTTTTAAAAACACCGTAGAACCGGCCTCTCCGTCATATACATATAATTGATTTAATTTTACTAAATACTTTTCTAGAGATAATCAATAATTATGTTTCCATTGCGGACGCATGTTATGTAAATATTTACGTAGTAAAACTGATAGTCGCTTGCAGAATGGGAACTTCCATTCTTGGGATATTCATATCGCATCGATACAGAGAAATGGGACGTCTTATAATCATTACGTCACGGACACGTCAATTCTGAGTAGATTTACAATCAACAATACGATCAATAATAAGGAATACCTCAACGTCTAGAAACATAACGAGAGAGAAAGAGAGAGAGAGATAGACTATACTTTGTTGCACACCAAAAAATAATTAACATTGAAAAACAGTCATTAGGTATGTATAATTGTACAATAGACGGTTTTATCGCTAAAAACGATCTCTTCCAGGCAACCGTTTTATCTAGAGATATTCTGTAAAAATTTACAGTAGGTATGTTGCGCCCGCCCGGTCCTTGTGGATTGGGTGAATCGTGACACAGGACGCCTCACTTTCCGGCTCACGCAGGTGCTCACTGGGCATGGTTGTTTCGGTGAGTTCCTGCACCGGATCACAGCCGAGCCGACGGCAGAGTGCCACCATTGTGGTTGCGACTTGGACACGGCAGAGCATACGCTCGTCGCCTGCCCCGCATGGGAGGGGTGGCGCCGTGTCCTCGTCGCAAAAATAGGAACCGACTNAAGTGGTTACTGGAGCCCATAGACATCTACAACGTAAATGCGCCACACACCTTGAGATATAGTTCTAAGGTCTCAGTATAGTCACAACGGCTGCCCCACCCTTCAAACCGAAACGCATTACTGCTTCACGGCAGAAATAGGCGGGGCGGTGGTACCTACCCGTGCGGACTCACAAGAGGTCCTACCACCAGTGATTACGCAAATTATTAATTTTGTGGGTTTGATTTTTATTACACGATGTTATTCCTTCACCGTGGAAGTCAATCGTGAACATTTGTCGAGTACGTATTTCATTAGAAAAATTGGTACCCGCCTGCGGGATTCGAACACCGGTGCATCGCTTCAACACGAATGCACCGGACGTCTTATCCGTTAGGCTACGACGACTTATTGTTTGTTTTTAATATTATTTGTCTATTGTGTAGTCTTAGAGAAATCTGTGATTATAGAAGTATAATGGTCTTTGACAATAGAGCCATAATAATGTTCAAACTTATAATTTCAATTAATTATAGTCGAACTCTCATTACTGGAGGACCACCAGTTTTACATAAAAACGAGGAATCATTCAATACAGATGGTCGTATTGTCTGTACTCCGTCCTGCATTAAATCATTATAGACTGTTTCGCGAACACATTGCCCGCATTAAAAACAACATCATAAACCTTCCTGTCCAGAAAATAAAGAACAAATTTCAATGGATACCCATTAAGCCGTGAAGGCAACGAAAGAAAAACGTGCATTGCGTCAACAGTAAATCACGTAATCCAAGTCTTTTCCTATTATTTGTTTATTTAAGCAAAAATAAGCTTTATCTCGTAAAGACGATGAATGTTTTTTCGTTTTGCAAACATTACATTGTGTACAGATAAAATCGTTTCCAGAAAAATCGATACAAAAAAAAACAAATGCACTTGAAACTTGTAACAGACATTGAAATTTTTCAATGTCTGTTTTCAGGGTTTTTCAATTGTTTCATTCTTTTCTACATTACTCGCCGCGATAGTAAATCAATCGATTCTCAAAATCGATTTTTATAGCGATGAACCGATTTTGCAATCGGTATCGAAGTGTAATTTAAACCTATAGTAAAAAATGTAGCACTCTCATTACCACGGGGCTCCGAAATTGAATGCGTGACACCATTTTTTTTTATTCATTCATTCATTCAAAACCATTAATGTCAATTAATTAATATACACTAGGATAACTCAATATACTGTTATTGGTCAAGTCGCGATAAAATCGAACACATGAGAAGAATCATCTTTAAAATAAAAAAAACAGGAGGAAATTCATTCGCTTATAAAAAAGTTCTGATGTAGCGCACATGAAAAAGTCGAATTGAGAACCTCCTCCTTTTTTTGAAGTCGGTTATGATGGCTGATGAACTCTTAGAAGATACAGAATTGGAACGGTAAAGTATTTTAAGTACCATACGTCTGTGAACGACTTCCGCGCGTATTACGTACAAATATATAGAAGACGCGAGTGGATAAAGGGAATAATAATATTATATTTGTTAATTTTGAGAAAAAGGGCAAACAAACTTTTGTTACTTGTACTCTCTTCGTACATAGCTCCATCACATTTAAAAATAGCCTTTAAACCCGGAGTTTAAGGTCTAATATGGTTTATAGGCACATGACATCTTCATTCAATGTAAAAACTCAACCATCTTAAAAATTGTACTTAACCCCTTCATTCACTCATGTCCTCAACTATTATGGGGGCATACCAGTGCACAGTCGTCGTACAACCGCCTTGTAAGAACAACCTCATATCTAAAGGTGTCACATTCAGTAGTGTCCACAGTCCACAAACCCCGGCCACTAGTTCAGCCAACCCTAAAGCCCAAAGCTCTAAACTATAATTTAAAGTAAAAATTTAACTCACCCGCGTTGAGAGGAGGGGCCTCTGTCCATTTGTCTTCACTAGCCGAATACTTCAATACTCTTTTCAGGTTGACCCCTCCGGCCCAGCCGCCGATGATGTACAGATTCTCTCCCTCGGGGTCAACCGCCGCTCCGGCGTACGACAGCGCGAGGGGCAGCTTCGCCTTCGCCTGCCACGAGCCGTTCTGAAGGGCTCCCACCGAGTCCAGTTCAGTGTGTCCATCGCTGCCCCCCACCGCGTACACCGTGTGGTTGAGGACCGCGGCCGGGAACCGAGCTCTAGCGCACCGCATGTCCGGCAGAGCTGACCACGTGTTGGTGGAAGGGTCGTACTGTTCCGCGGTCCGCAGCACGCGCGCGCGGTCGTAGCCGCCGCACACCACGAGACGCCCGTCTAGCACCGCGATGCCGTGAGCGCAGCGGCCGGTCGCTAAGTGGGCGCGCCTCTCTGCTGAATCCGGCTCTGTGTCGGAAGCCAGCGCGCCTCGAGTGCCGGTGGCGCCGCCCGCGGCCACGTCCCGCCACGACACGCGAGCAGCCGCCAGCCTACCCCGCACGGCGAGTAACGCGCGTGTGGAGCCCCCAGAGGCGGCCCTGGCGGCGAGCACGGCGCAGGCGGGGCGGGCACAGCGCGCGCCCAGCTCGAGGCCGGGCAGGGGCCGCGCGGCGGAGGCGGGCCCGGCGTCGCGGCTGCGCTTGGCGCGCTGGGCGGCCTCGCGGCGGTACTCCTGCAGCTCGGGCGCGTCGCCGCGGGTGGCGGGCAGCTCGCCGCAGTCCCGCAGCGACCCACGCTCGGCGACGTACAGCAGGTGGGTCCTCGAGCACAGCTCCTCCAGCTGACATGCGGACAGATCGAAACGACTTCTCATTTCAAGCACGTCTCGTCTTCCGTCGAAAAGTATTTAAGATTAAGAAAGGATTCAACAGGTTTATTATTTAGGATCTACTTGATTTCATCGGCAATTTAATTAAAATTTTTAATACAACTCGTGAATAGTATTTATGACTTATAAGTAGAGGTCGGAGTAGGTAGATTGATTTAAGGTCGTTGACGTCAAACGTAGAGGATAATATGGATATGCCTCCAAAATACCGGAAGTTCATATTTATTGTGATATTTGTTCCGGAATTTTGAAATTAGCATGAATCTGTGTTTAATTAAGGTGAAAAACGTATTAATAACATTAATCTACGCTACTTACCAGTGCGGGCTAATGGTGAAAGAAATCAGTATTTTATTTTATACAAAAACACCTTGGAATAGTTACACCGTATTTTGTCCCTTACTGTTGAATTAGAAATGACGCTTGTCAATATGAGACAAAACTTAGACAGGACTTTTTGTTACTTTATCTCATAAATATAGAAATTGTATCCGATGAGAATTAACAAGATTTTTTCAATTTAAAAAAATAATCATTACGGATAAAATGGCATGTCCATATTATAATATCTTGACGCAAGTATATAAAATCAATCTACCTACTCCGTACACTGCTTATAAGTAATGCTTAAAAAGAAAAAAAAAATGTAACGGAAACATTTCTCTTTTTAAAGTATACGTAATAAAAAAGCAACATTTATCATTTTATTTAGTTTTTCCAAAAATAAAAAAGACACGCGAAAGCACTTACATCATATTCCGGTGCGTGACTTCTTAACCACGTAAGTGCTGCGTCGGCTATAGCATGTGGAGCGTCTTCGCCTCCAGCGGTGGTCACTCCCTGTATCGGCCCCTCCCTCAACAGTTCGATGCGGACGACAGGCAGGGCTGCCATCGCTCCAGTCTCGCATACCGCTTCGAACTGAATTTCAACATTAGTAAACAAAAACCAAGTCTAAATTATCATTATCGACATTTTTAAGCCTTCGTCAAACAAAACGCGTACTTAGCGCCGTGTACTTAACGTCGCGCTCTTCAAATTGACTAGATGAGTCTAACGCTCCTTGACGCAACGCATTCGCCAAATCATAGTGCCTTTCGATAGCAGTGTGAAAATTTAAAAGTATTAAGATATCAAGTGATTCAGATGTGGCATTGTATAAGCATGGGTATTTTCTAACTATTTATATCATATTTTCGGGCATTATCTAGTATTTTAATACACATTCACTCGGACGCTAAAATAAAATTTGTAAAAAATTACAACGCCTGACGTCAAAGCGTCCCTAACGCCGCGACAGAGCGCTGCGTACTTATAGCGCTGGGGCTCTGTTTGACGCTATGTTACCATAGTAGTACAACACATCTCGGCGTCATAGCGCGGCGTCAGTTTAGCGCTCTAACGCGCGCTAATTACGCGTTCTGTTTGACGAAGGCTTTAACGTCTCAAAAACAAACTAGTATCCAAGTTCCTTTGTTTATAATTGATGAGAGAATGTTAAGTAGTTAACTCTTGTTTTCATGTTCTCTTCAATATTTTTTTTTTCATGTCGTACTGTTAACATTTAAATTAAGCCTATTTTTCCGCTGTTTGTAAAATTGCTGTAACATGTCATAGTGTGTTATAAGAGATTGCTGTACATGCCTGTAACTGGCTTACATACCAGTACTTAATTTTATACATGTTAATTTTAAGCTTGAATGTTTTATGTGTGTTTCTGTTGGTGTGTCTAAATAAATAAATAAATAAAATTATTTTAAAAGTAATTGTTTATAAGACACTTACATGCTGAGCAATATAAGCGTCCAGCTGTGCCAAATGATGGGGCGAAAGATCGGGAAGAGACCGAACCTCCAGACAATCTGCCGGAGCCAATCGCTTCAGCAAACGGTCCGCCAGGTGAGCCCTGACCGACTCGACACGCAGCCTCCAGGCGGCACGATACAATCTCCGGGCCGAGAGCGTATCTTTGACCCGAACTCGACCGGTGTAAGCGTATTCCACAAGTTCCCTCAAGGCGTCCGCGTCCACGTCTTCCACCCGGTACACAGGAGCGGAAGCCGGTGCTGGTGATGTGGTCACGGGGGCTGGTGATAACGCTTCCAGTAAGTATGGCGAGGCAGCAGCGAGGACTGCTCTGTGGGCGGCAACCTCAGTTCCTCCGGCGACGAGAACCGCGTCATAATGCTGTCGGGACTTGCGTAAAGCGTTTAAAGCGCTTAAAGCTCGTGCTGGGGCATCGGGGTCATACAAGGATAACTCGTCTTCAAGTGCACTGCTTTCTTCGCCTTCGCTGTCTTCCTCTCGTCCTGTGGAAAAAAAGAAATACTTTTCGTGACTAAAGTTTAGCAGCTGGTTTACTTACTGATGATGAGAGATGGGTGGATGAGCTCACAGCCCACCCTGATGTTAAATGGTTACTAGAGCCGATAGACATCTACAACGTACATGCGCCACCCACCTTGAGATATAAGTTTTAAGTTATCTGTATAGTTACAACGGCTGCCACGCCCTTTAAACCGAAACGCATTACTGCTTCACGGCAGAAATAGGCGGGGTGGTGGTACGTACCCATTCGGACTCACAAGAGGTCCTACCACCAGTGATTACGCAAATTATAATTTTCCGGGTCTGATTTTTATTACACGATGTTATTCCTTCACCGTGGAGGTCAATCGTGAACATTTGTCGAGTACGTATTTCATTAGAAAAATTGGTAGCCGCCGGCGGGATTCGAACACCGTTGCATCGCTAGATACGAATGAACCGAACGTCTTATCCTTTAGGCCACGACGACTTCACACTTTTCCAGCAGAGGAAGGTCAACTCATACGCGTATCTAATACGAAAACAAATCCAGATCGCCATGTTTACCTACCCGCGACCTCGTTCAAGAAAGTTTACGCAATAATCGGTCCGTTTTTCAAAGCAATCAGATACATCAACAATTTATGGCATTCGAAACAGCGAGACCATTCGACGCGAATTCAGCGGAAATAACCAGTTACAAATTAGTCAGTTGTACCGGTTTATTATCAACATAACCGGTCGTTTCTGGCACTTATCCTCCTGTATTCTTCTTTAACATCTAACAACTTTGTTATGCATTTAATGTTTATGGTGTTCTTTAGAGAAATTGCATTAAAAACTGTGAATTACTTAAGCGTTTCGGAGAGCACTTAACGAAATCTTCAAATTGATAAGTGAAGCAAAAACTTTGTACCCCTTTTTACGAATATTGCGCCGACGGAGGAGTATGAAATTTCCCACACTTATAGAGAATATAGAGAAGGAGTTCAGCATGTTAATATTTTTTTTAATTATGCATAAAAATTTAGTTTTAATCAATAAAACATTACACACACTACCATGTATTTGACAAAAGATATATACATATATATACTCTTTGTTTATTGTCAAAGTTTTGTTATTGTTTAAAGTTTGTGCTCAAATTGAAAATAAATTAATATTATTTGTCTTTACTATTATTCGTCTATAGTGTATTCTATGATTATAGAAATCTGTGATTATAGAAGTATAATATGTAGTCTTTGACAATAGAACCATAATAATGTTCAAACTTATAATTTCAATGAATTATAGTCGAATTTCTATTCATCATCATCATCATTATCCTGGCCTTCTCCTAGTCACCTGAGGTCAGCGCAACATGTTTTCTCCTTCCATACTCTTTTATCATATACCATTTCTTTGCTCACTCCCCTCTTACCCATATCGTCTTTCACACAATCTATCCATTTCTTCTTAGGTCTACCTCTTCCTCTAATCCTTCCACATTCCTAGTTAACACTCTCTTACCAACCTCATTTTTATTTCGTCTCATCACATGTCCATACCATCCCAAACGCGCACTTCTCAGTTTCTCGGTCACAGGTGCCACTTTCAGACTTCCTCTGACATATTCATTCCGTATTCTATCCATTCTCGTAACTCCACACATCCATCGCAACATTCGCATCTCTGCTGCATGCAATCGCCTTTCATCCGCCACTTTTGTTGTCCAACAAGCTGATCCATACAAGATTCTATTATAGACACCAAATGCCGACGTGGAGACATAAATTCGATGTTACTTGCATGGGAATAAGGAGACTTGAGACTTGAATGCATTATGTTTCTTCGGAAAATAATAAATAAACCATTGCAGGCACACTCATCTTATTATTAAAACTGGATTTGATGAAAGCTCTTTTGTCACTGAGCTTTGGCTAGGGCGGTTGTGGCGGTAGGCAGGGGCATATTCGAGCTGATCCGACTAAAATATCCTGTCGCGCAACGACCCGCGTCAGAGCATTGGATGAGACAGAATTCACTCGAGGCAGACGAGGGCAAGAAGACACGGTCCACGCGATTGCGTCTTTAGCTGGGTTGGGACCGGCGTGGGTAGGAAAGCGCATTCATCTGTCACTTGTAGCCTATCAGGAATTTGGCGAGATCCTTATCGCGATATCGGGTCGTATTTTTTTTCTTATTATTCTAGTAACTTTTTTTTTATTGGCCTTGAAGGCAGACGAGCACACGGCCCACCGGATGGTGAGTGGTTACCGTCGCCCATGGACTTCAGCAATGCCAGGGTCAGAGCCAAGCCACTGCCTACTGAGCGTATACTAGATTCATCGAACGAGTAGGTGAGCTCACGGGTCTCTAACCTGATGACGTTGCTAACAATAGGACCAGCAAGAGCAGTGCTTCACAGAATCTACCACCGGATCGGAAACGCGACCAACCAAGAAGATCCGGCGTGAAACTCAGTAGGTTCAGCTCGACAACAGATCAGTGCACATAACCAACAACACATTGTTCCACGTCCCTTCGACTGCTTCTGCAAAATAGTGGACTCGCAGAAGTCGAGCATCACCCACCATCACTACTTGGGAATCCATTAAGTAATCCGCTTAGCAATTTATATCACAATTACAAATCCTTACGAAGCCGTTGAAGAAAATGACATAAATTCTATCTATCTAAATTATAAAAATGATTATTTTGCATTTCGTCGTTGTCAAACCAAAATTGCTATGTGCACTTTTTGAGAGTTTTATTTTTTGACCTTTTCGTATAACTCACAGCCCTATCTACGGTATAAAAAAAAACTGTTATGTGTCTATAACTTTAATATTTATCTATAGCTTTCATTTGATTTTATTACCGGAAAAATTTAATACTTTCAAATCAATTTGGAACAATATAGACGTAGAAAAGAAAAATTTAGAAGAATTAACCGGAAGAATTAAAAATGAATTGAAATTCATCAAAGAAGACTCTATCATAGAATCCCGAGAGATTTTAAAAGGAAACGAAAAGAGATGTTTCATCTGCAACAAACCAGGGCACATAGATATATAGTTCTTAAAAATTAACCTTCATATAATTTTATACGAAAATGTTTTTACACGTTAATTCTAAAATAAAAGTACACTATTAAATAAATAATACACAATTTACCTCTGTACATCGCGATCGTGATGCGTTCAAACAAACAAACCAAAATTAACTTCTGCTTTAAAAATTACGTTCGCAGTTCGTTTGATTATTTTTTTGTGTTCTCCATTAGTTTTAGTTTTTGATCGCCCCACTCATCCTTCGTTACATTGACGACGTAAAACTCAATTGTCCTGTCCCCAGTCGAACACACACAAAGACTATTTAAACTCGACCGTCCGTTGAAGCAATGACGACCGATTATTAATTATCACGTTATCGTAGCCTCCATCCTTGTCGCGATACCGCGAGTCCACGTGCCAGAGAAAACAATGAAACATAATATCATTACGAATGATATAGAATGATAATGGCGCTGATAGTGAAACTCAATGCCGTTGCAGTTTCAAAACTGCTCCAAATCGTCGCGATTACACTCCAACAGTGCTGTGCGCGGTAGGCATACGTTTATCGTGATCATCATCATCATCATCTCAGACTGTCCACTGCTGAACATAGGCCTCTCCAAGTGATCTCCAGTGCGACCGGTCCGTTGCCACCTACATCCAACGTGACCCAGCGGTTCTTACGTTCAGCTATATCTTATTCATTTAACATACCCGATCCTGTAGACCGAATGGTAAACAGTCGATGTCGCCCTAAGCACGTCATTACGGATCCTTCCGATCCATTAACGGTGTTTTAAGTACTTTAAGCACCGGTCACCGTTCTCGTCGAAACCGTCGCTAGCGACGAAGAGTTCGGCGAGTAAACTAAGCCACAGACACAGCCCACTGAGTTTCTCGCCGGATCTTCTCAGTGGGTCGCGTTTCTGATCCGGTGGTAGATTCTGCGAAGCACTGCTCTTACTAGGGTCAGTGTTAGCAACACACCCGGTTCGAACCCCGTGAGCTCACCTACTAGTTCGTTGAATCTAGAATAACCCTTCGAGGTTACTAGAATAGGTAGCAAATTAAATGTCAGAAATGTATCGACTTTATGAATCACATGGTTTTATTTAATAAGACAATTTTCTTAAAATTCTTAGCGTTCGTAGCGACAAAGGAAATACCAATCTCGATGAACGTGTTTGTTTCCAAAGAATTTCAAAACACGGATGCTCAAATTATCGTAGCACGAACACGGACTTCTGTTATCGCTGTAACGACCCGAAGTGAAGGCTGGACTAAATAACAAAGGTTTTTAATACATATTTTTTGCTCTTTTAGCAGACGGGGCAGAGCCAAGCCGCTGCCTGCCGCTTACTCCACAAGCCTCGTTTGACGTAGGACATGTCATAGCGCTCGGGAAATACCATGGAGGGGAGCTCATTCCAAAGCCGTATGGTACGTGGCAAAAAAGAACTCTGGAAGCGCACTGTGGATGAACGCAGTGGCTCCAGGTAGTATGGATGAACTCTACTCCGATGGCGGGCGGTGCAGTGGTATTAACAAGATGATGGAATCATCTCAAACAATTCCTCAGAGCACTCTCCATGGAACAATACAGAGAGAAGCGAAGTCCCTCCGCAGACTCAGAGGTTCTGAACTAATTTGTATTCTAACCTTTATTGCCACATTCTGATGAGGCAGTAAAGCACAGGTTTCAAATTAGTTTGGGGGTAGTATAGTCGCATCAGATACACAGGGAGCCAAGCCGATTTGATAGTAGAACAAATATTTATTCGACTGAACCTATCTCAAATCAAGACAGACATCAAATTTGTAAACATAAAACAAAATATTGCGTAATCACTGGTGGTAGGACGTCTTGTGAGTCCGCACGAGTAGCTAACACCGTCCTGCCTATTTCTGCCGTGAAGCACGTTTCGGTTTGAAGGGTGGGGCAGCCGTTGTAACTATACTGA